GCGTCGGACATCAATGGTGATGTGCAGTCTCTCGCTAGAATGTCTGGTCCACTTGGATCATCCGGGGGGGCCTCATTCGCACGTGATCTACACGCTCCCTGAGGAAGTGACCGCCTGCGCACCGCCAAGTTGCTGGTGATGAGTAAGGCGTTCGTGTATGCAGTCAGACATATATGTAAAAGTGCCTCTGATATATTCTTGAGTACATTTGTGTTTTTATAAGCCCCCTGCAACGGAGAGTACCACTGCAGCCCAAATAGCCGCCAACGGCAGGCTACGGGCGCGGTATGTGTGCGCGTCAGTCACGTGCGGACGAGACCCCCCCGGATGATCCAAGTGGACCAGACGCTCTAACGAGCCAGTGCACTTTGCTTTCAAAGTCCGATGCACTGGCCGACAGTGTTTACACGTCGGAGTTAAGAGCGGATGGAAACGAGACTAGGTCTCAGCTTCCTCAGCGTACATAGTATTGGACTGAATATATTAGGAAGTAGATAAGCTATATAAGGACACGTAGTATTATTCTTAGAATTTACCGTCGATTACTCGTGAATCCCCCACCTGCGCGATCCAATTCACAACACTGTCCGACGTGACTGCTGACGATGCATCGAGACAGAATACTGTACCTGTACGAGCAGTCCGGCGGAGCGGCAAGTTTAGCAGTGACCTGTGACACCGGTCATGGATGCGGCAGTCAAACGGTGGCGGCGACCCAGGTGTGACCTTATAGAATAGAAACACAGACAAGAACAGTGGCGACAGCCCAGAAGGCATGAGTAAGTTTTTTCTCATATACTTTGCGCCGCAAGCCCAAAAAAATCCAAATATTGATTTTAGAAGAAAAATATGACAGGCGGCGGTCGGGCGCTATGTGGCGTACAGGTACAGTACCAGTAGCCTCCAGGTCTACGATGTCGGCATAAATTAGCGTCCCGAAGGGTACATTGGATGGCAGCTTGAGCCGGTGAGCAGCATTGGAGTATGTGAACAAGCGACTTTTGATGGCGAAAGTACCAAGCAAGAGGTCTTCTTCCTCCGAGTCTTCCAGGATGCTGCCTTCTCGGTTTCGGCTATTGGACCGAGGCTTGGCAAGCCAATAATCGCCTCCGTTCATTTTTCATGCGAGAACGACGGGGCATGCCTAGATGCGGACGCCAGCGGACCAATATATCGCCGGTGGGCGCAAGACAGAGGCTCCAATCTCTTCCGACGCTAGAGCATATCCGTAGTATCGGAGGTTAACCGCGCCTGACGCATCACGTGAACGATGAGAGAAGTACTGAACCTTACGAAATGACTCGTATTAAACAATATCGCTTCCCTACAGAGCTTCTCAGCCGGAGACAAGAGATCCAGCCATGCTATATAATAGATAATTTATGCAAGCGTGCAGAGCATATTCAACCCGTCGACAATCTCTACACGAGTCTTGCTCGTGCTCCCAGCGTCACGGTATTGGAGGCACATGTCTAAGATTCCACCTTCCGAGTCGTCCAGTCCCATCGACGTCCACGCGCAGGAGGTAAGCAATATACGTGCGCGGCACCAGATATAACGAGAGGTCGGGCCCGGCACCAAACCGAACCGCTTCTGCTGGATCGATATCGTCTCGGCACATTTGATGTTATGTCCAACACTCAATGCAGCCTGCGCCTGCATTGGTATACGCTTCCGAGGCGTGGATAGTGCCCGCAACGCGAACTCCCCTTGCACAGACGTCTCGTCAACACCACCCTCCCATAATGCGATGTCAAAGCTGGAGAACATACCCACTAGGTATGATGTCCTACAATGTCCCAAGCGGGGCATTTTCATGTAACTCCTCCCCCTCTCCGTTCTCGTCCGGATCGACGTTGACGGGCTCACCGATGTTACCAAAAACATCGATGCTGCTCAAGTAAGGAATCGAGAAGCCATGAGGTGTCCCGGATTCGCTAAGCGAGAGGTTGCCCGTACGGGATTCGTGCTGGCGAAGGTTGAAAAGGAAGCGGATGACCAGGATCGGAGGCTGCATTGACGTCAGTGGTGAATCTAGAAACTGCGAAAATACCTGTCATACCATTACGTTCAGGAGGATTGATATATAGGGCCAACCCTGACAATAGGATAAGTGGATCATCGTGTGATGCAGGACCGTCTGATACCTACTTTGACGTAGATTAATAGCTGTATAAGGCTCACAACGAACATGATGCTAGTATCATGGTACGTCTCGTCATCTGGACGCACTCTTCATGACACGTATCACGCACAAAAAGTATAGGGTGCCTAATTGCGGCCTGTGAGTGAGATGTTGTTCTGTATCGATGGACAAAGTCGCCTACCATCGCGAAGGAGGTAAGTTGTCACCACCACTGGAAGCTTCAGCTGTCTTGCGCGGCGCCAATGTCGATAGGTCTTGGCCCATGTTAGAATGAGCAAAAGTGTATGCATGGTGACGCAGCCGGCAATGATCACAGGATAGACTTTGATCTATCAGCGATCCACAGCGTGCGCCATGGCAAAAAAAAAAAACGTACAGCTGGATATCATGTCAGCAAGTGCGCCTTAGATACGTCCGCGCACCTACACAGCGAACAGACTTCCAGTAGAAGGGTCGAATCGTTGTTCGCAAGCGATAACAGGAGGCCCGGTAAATTCATAGTGAGCTTGCGACATAATATACTGCAACCAAAATCATCATCTCTCAGATTCTCGTCAAGAACCGGCCGAGACTCACCGCATACAAGCTCATCGTCGTGATGCCTGGGGTAAGCACAATCAAAAACACGAACCAGTTGCGGCCCCAGATAGCAGAGACACGAAGAGCGGCGAATACTAAATTTCTTATAAGTCATAATGAGCTACGCACGAGCGCATGACATGCTTACTTGCCGGGTTCACAAGCCCAACGTATTCAACGGCGTTGATAGTTACAGAAATACCCTTGCAGCTGCTAGACGGCTATCAGCGCCTGGGCTATTAACGGGACCGCACTACACACCTCTGGTGAATATCGAGCTCTATGAGAACCGACGTGAACGATAATGACATATGTCGTACGTACCTTGGAGAATGGGAGTATCAACATTGACACAGCGCTCAGCAGCAGAGACCATCGTGTCATGATCAGCAATACCGAGACGAGGGAGAAACGTCTGCGCCAGACCACGTCGATTTCTTGCTTCAACGTCAGGACATAGTCGTAGATCAACAAAGCTGTCGGACGTCGTGGCGTTAGCTTCGGCGACTGGTATGCGCGGCGTACTCACTCGCTGTGACATGCACGATGTATTTCGTGATCTGGCTGCCAGGAAAAGGCAGGGTCAACACCCCGGGCTACGTGGCAAAAGTGGACTACATACGTGCTGCTTGCAAAGGCTTCCAGCTCGAGCGGCGTCAAGGGAGCATCCGACATACTGTGATGCGGACGGCTGTGCGCAGAAAGGACGGCAATTCCTCCAACCAGCGGTGCGTTATATGCGATTGCGGGACGCCGGAACTAGGGCCCCGCGGAGACCGTAATGGGGCGCGTATCTGGTGAAGACATGAGCTGCACGCAGCAGACGTGAAGAAGCACTGTCTAGCTGTCATTTACTAAATCATTTGCTGCCGCGTCGATACCCGTTCCAAAAGAGCACTAGTCGCTCGATACGGTTTCGAGGTCGCAGACTAGCCGCCCGAAGTTCTCGAGGTCAAGCATTCTACAGCGTGAGTCAGGAAGACCCAGGCTCCTCAACGTCGCCTGTAGGCGGTAAGGCTGCTAGATAGATCTCGCTGGACGTCGGCTGGATGAGCGCTTTGTGTGATGAGTCACAGTGATTGTGTAAACGTGTCGGATGAGTTTACCGAATGGCGATGACTCATCAGTCCTGTGGACATCCACGGACGTGCTGGTGAGGGAGCCTAGTTTGAGGTTGAGGACTTGCTGCTTTCGGATTTGGCGAGAAGTTGGGGTCGTAGACCGTGTGTAGGGCTTTACGAGCAGATGTGGAATCGGAGCAGTTAGCTGGCGGAATTTGAGAGCGCTGAGTCTGTGCAGGCACAGATCTAGAGGTGCAAAGCCAGAGCGGGGTGTGTGCTTGGCGAGAGCTAAAGTAGACTTGGTTAGGTCTCGGAGTTTGAAATACGGCGTGAAGGGTGAGGAGACAGGTTTAAAGGTGATTTAGCGGGTGAATGCAGCAGGTTCCTGGGCCGTTCATTTTAACATGGGATGGCCATACGGCTTTGCGTACTACCCGAGGACTAAAAGCCGGGCCTTGGAGTCCTGCCGCCGCCGACCAACATCACCTTATCCAAAAAAATTAAGAGAAATACTTATACCGTTCGCCAGGGTATCTAAGCTTATTCAAGGCATTCTAACAGAGCAGGGTCGCTTCGCATGTGTTATTCACGAAAATTTGTATGCGTGGACAGCGGACCTGATGAAAGCTAAACTCTGAGAGACCCTCGGCCTGCCGATCCCGCTCCCCTTGCTGTCTAGCCTGTATATGATAGGCGGGAACGGTACGGTAGGATTTTGATCAACAGCCGTCTGCGACAAGCGCCCGTGACAGTTTCGCGCATCGTGGCCACCGCTGCGTAACAGTTATGCAAATATTCCTACTAAGTTTTGCTGTATACACTGCACACAAATAGCCTGATATACATCTAAATAGGTATAATAGATGATATGATACAGTCTGAGGCCACAGTTCGTAGGGCGCTTAGTCTGTAGGCGTGACACCCGGTAACGCGGAGCCCTCAGAATGCTGGAGACCCTGCGACGTCACTGTAAGTGACCAAGTATCAGCTGTTGGACCAAGCGCCCATTGAAGCATGGCTGCAAAATATGGCACCCCCCCTCCCAGGATTTAGGAACTGGAAGCATCCGCAAGGGCATGAGCGGATCGCGCATTGATCTGACGGCTACGAATGACTTTAAGTACGGTCGAATAACGCCCAACGCGCCATCGCGAACGCTCAACGCGGCGCACGTCGCCAAGCACTCTAGCTGCTCTTGCGCCATTCCGCTCATAACTTTCACTCAGACATTATCTATATCAACCAACGACTCTCATGGAAGCTGCATGTATGGTGGTATGAAAGAATTAATGCAAAGAGGTGCCAGTGCGACAGCGAGAAATGTTGTCGTGAGGGCCGAACCAAGTTGCCTGTAAGAATCCTGAATACCTTGAGATTTGAGAATGCAGAGGAGATTGACAACCAAAAGCCCACCGGTGTTCCTGCCCGCCTGGCCCATGGGCTCATCGCCTTGGACACGGAGGGCTCTTCCGTGCCATTATGGGTGAGAAAAGGCTGTGGGCAGTGTACAATTTACTGCGCGTCACCGGACAGTTCTTTGAGCGCTTAATGGTGCGTGCATTGCCAAGCGTTGTATGACTGCGGCTAGAATCTCTCGCACTTCAATCGTGTAAAATCGCGGTAATATTCCGCACTAGCAACCATATTCGGACAGATATATGGGGTGCCGATCGCCAAGTCTCCTGTGTTTCGGGGTTCATCGCCTCGCGTGGCGGCGTGCCGCGATGCTGCGCAACGTGATTACGCAACGAGCTTACGAAACCCGAGGGAGCCACGGATCTAACTCTCCCTCAAGCAAGCGGCTCCGATCAGTGCCTCATCAATGCATCAGGGGCCATCTGACTGTATCGTCTGTTCGCTTGCGGGCAGTCAAGGTATAGTTATTACATCATAAGATATGCTTCCATGTCGTGGATAATGACTGCAATGCGAATGCCTCCTACACAGACGTATGGTCATTATTGATTTTATAGCACGCGATGTCAGAACACACATACCCATTAGTGCGCCACCCTACGTCGAAGCCTTAAGGGGAGACATTTCCATGTAATGCTCCTCGACCTTCTCGCTCTCGTCCGAACTGGCGCCAATAGGCTCGCCAATATTACCGAAGATATCCTCGGTGGTCAGGGATTTAGGGAGTGAGAAGCTAGGAAATCGTCCAGGCTCGCTGTATGAGAGCCTGACGCCTTTGCGGCGCCCGAGCTGGCGGAGATTAAAGATGAAGCGGTAGACCAAAATCGAGGGCTACAGCAGCGTTAGTGGTGAACCCAGAAGCCGCGAGAATGCTCTTACCACCATATACAAGAGGACGGCTGCGGAGTACCAGCTCTGATGATAGGTCAGGTCAGCTATCGCATCTTAAGGAAGGTTGGATACCTGCCTTGACGTAAACGAATATTTGGATGATACTCATAGCAAACATTACACTAGCAGCGAGGTGTCTCAGGCTTACCATGCGAGCGCACAATTTATGAGACGAAACTCTTACAGAAAATATGAAGTGCCTGAGTGCAGCCTGTGAGTGAGACGGCAGCCAGTCTTCAGAACAAGAAGTTACCCACCGTCGCGAAAAAAGTAGGTTGTCACTGTCAACGGAAGCTTGAGCTGTCTCGCGCGGCGCCAGTCTCGATAGGTCTTGACCCATGTCAAGCCGATCACAAGGACTTGCATGACCATGGTGCCAGCAGTAGTCAGAGGATCCACTATCATGTATCAGCGGTCCACCTGGTATGCTACTGCGAAGAGAACATACAACTAGACAAGGTATTAGTGAGTGTCGCCGAGCGAGTCTACGTTGCCGGACCTACGCGGCGAGTAGATGGGCAGTAGAGGCATCATACGTTGCTATGCAAGCCGCCACCGGAGGTCCGACATATCCGTAGTTGGTTCGCGACATCATGAACTGCAATTCAGATTGTTATTCCCCAAGATGCTCGTAAAGAACAGGCTTCAGCTTACTACGACAACTCCCATCGGTATGATGCCAGGGATTAGTACAATAAAAAACAAGAACCAGTTGTGACTCCAGATGGCGCATATGCGGAGGGCCTCAATTACTAGACCTCTAGTTAATCGCGGCTAAAATATGCACGTGTACGCCGCTATACTTACCTGCAGGTGTCGAAGTGCTGATTAGCTCGAGGGCATCGATAGCTATGGAAACTCCCTTACAACTATTCGGCGGCTGTCAGCATCCCGATTCTTGACGAAACCGCGGCACTCACGTCTAAGGAGATTAGGAACAACGCAAGCTAACGTGACATATGTCGTAAGTACCTTCGGAGATGCAGGCACCAGGATTAACGCAGCATTGAGCACCAGGGCCCACCGCGTCAGCATTAACAGGATCGAGATGAGAGAGACACGTCTGCGCCAGACTGTGTCGAACTCCTGCCGCAATGTCATGGCATAGTCGTAGAACACTAGAGCTGCCAGGGGTTGTGCGGTGTCAGCTGGGACGGCTGCCGTGCGAAGTGTACTCACTCGCAGCTGCGTATGTGAAGTATCTAGTAGTCTTGCTGTCGGAGAAATAAAGGATCAGCGCCTCGGTCCACGCGACAAAATGGACCACGTACGCGTTCCTCACAGGCCCTATCAGAGACTCATCCAACGCGAGCACCTTCAGGGAGGCATTCAGCATACCGTGATGCTGAAAGTGAGGTGCGGAAAGGAGTTCGATGCCGCCGGCTGGCGGGATATCATATATGATGACGGGACGCCGAACTGGAACCTCAGCTTGGAAACTGTCATTTTGCTGATCATGTGTTGCGTTCGGTTCTCCGTTCGAGAAGCTCTAATCAGGGTTTGGTGTCTGAACTGATTCTAAAACAGTACTAGTCACTCAGCGCTCATTGGTTGCAGGCTAATTACTCACAGCGCCCAAAGCCGACTCTTTTCAGTCTTCTCCGCAGGCACGGACTTGAATCATCGTCACGGCAACGGCCCCGAGCCTGGTACAAGGCCGGTGGCAAGATGTGTGGCTATTGAGGCCGTCGAGGTTGCGAACAGGCATGAATAAAGACAAATATCTACCCTAGAGGGCAATTTATAAAATTGTCTTGAACGCGATTGCCATAACGGACGTGGGTGAGAGAGGAACATCGGCATCAGCACCGGGAACCACCGGATGCCGTAGCGATTGAATTGACGCCCTTCCGAATCTGATATCGCAACCACAGCCGTGGATGCGACCAAGCGAACGTACGTAAAATTTGGAGCGGGGTCGCGCAGAGATAACAGGGGATATTCAAATAACACATGGAGTGCGTGAAGCAACGACAAATCCATGCACCTAGCATACCTCGTCCTCGTCCAGACCGACGTCGACTCGGAGCGGCTCACCGATGTTACCGAAGACATCTCTGCTACGTAAGCTGGCGAATCCAGGGAGTCCCCTGGGCTCGCTATGTGAGAGGACATCCGTGGGGGATTCGGATTGGCGAAGGTTGAAGAGGAAGCGGTTGATCAGGATTGGGGGCTGCGAAAACGTCAGCGTGAGCCCAGAGACAACGAGAACACCTGCCTTACCATCATATAGATGAGTGTGGCCAAAAAGTCCCAGTTCTAGCGATGGAGAGGTCAGCCATCATATTTCTCAACACGGTCGCATACTTGCCTTGAGACCCTTGGCGTAGATGAATATCCGGGTGATGGTCGCAGTGCTCATCAAACTAGTATTATAGAGTGTGTTTACCCTCCGAATGCAGGCTTCATGACAAGGATTACGCACATGAAGTATGAAGTGCCTAGGTGCGGCACAGAAGTGAGACGTCACTATGCTCAAGAACAAAAACTACCTACCATCACGAAGGAGATAGCTTGTTACTGACGTTGGAAGACCCAACTGCCTGGCGCGCCGCCAATGTCTATAGGTCTTGGTCCACGTCAAGCTGAGCGCAAGGCATTGCATAAACAGACAGCTGGCATCAAGCAAAGGATTCACTTTCATGCATCAGGGTCCACTGCGGATGCAACTTTAAAGGGGACATACAACTGAATGATACGTTAGCGAATGTCTGTGGACTCGGATATGCTCCTGGACTTACATAATGAGCAGACGGCTAGTGGTGGCGTCGTACGTTGTTGTACAAGCCGCAGCTGGAAACCCTACATACTCATAATGGGCTTGCGAGCTGATGAACTGCAGGTCAAACCATTATTCCTCGAGATGTTCGTCTAGACTCCGGGCATAGCTCACCACGAGTGCGCTCGTCGGGATGGTACCCGGAATCATCACAATGAAGAACATGAACCAGCTCCGGCCCCAGACGGCACATACTCTAAAGGCGGCAAATACTATGTTTCCAATCAGTCGCGAAGAACAACATGCAAGTGTACCGATATGCTTACTCGCCGGTGTCGCGATACAGAGCACTTCAGCAACAACCATAGTCACAGAAACGCCTTTACAGCTTTCCAACGGCTGCCGGCCTGAGCATCCGTTACTATGCTTTAGCGAAACCGCACTACTCACTTCTAATAAACGCCAAGCTAATCAGAACCGACGCAGGCCAGCATGTCATGTGTCAAACGTACCTTGGGAGACGCAGGGACCAGCATCAGCACAGCGTTTAGCAGCAGAGACCATCGCGATACGATCAGCAAGACGGACACCAGGGAGACACGTCTACGCCAGACTGTGTCAATCTCCTGCCAGAGGGTCAGGGCATATTCGTAGAGCACTAGAGCTGCCGGGCGCCGTGCGGCGCGGCGGAATCAGCTTGGTTGACTGCTGAGCGCAGAATGCACCCACCCGCTGCAGCGTGCGTTAGATATCCCGCTACCCTGCTGTAAGGAGTACGCAGTGTCAGCACGCTGGACTACACAGTAAAACAGATCACATACGTGGTGCTTACATACGACTCGTCCAGCTCGAGCAGCGTCAGGGAGTCATTTAGCATACCGTGATGCTGAAGGTGAGATGCGGAAAGGGAACCAGTCCCCCCAGTCGGCAGCGTATCATATACGGCCACAGCACGCCGAGCCAGAGCCCCAAGCACACCAGTGAGATATGCATCCAATGGCGATACAAGCCGCGCGCAGCTACGGAGTTGGATCAAGAAGCACTAGATGATTTCCCGTAAGCGTTGTGATGCGCCCTGGGGACTCAACAAGATCGTTCGGCATGGCCGGCATGGCCGTCGTTATGCCCACTCCATTAGGCCATGCTTGCCACGCTGGACTGTTTTCAGCACCTTCTCGAACCTCCAAGTCACCATAATACTCATGCGAAGCCACCCACTGTCTGACTGTCATATACGCATCATTTCTCATCATCTCGGCCCTCTGTTCGAGAAGCGCGTGGTCAGGGTCTCACATTTACGCCCGTTCTTGCAGAGCACCGGTTACCGATAACAACTTTGAGGCCGCAGGTTATCTGCTCGAAATCGACTGTTCTCCGCGGGTATGGACCAGAAATGAACTTAACCTATTGGCACAGCGACGGCGACCCCAAGTCTGCCATTCAGATCTCAGATCTTCCAACGTCAAGCTTCAAGCGACGGACCGGTGTATAAGCACAAATGTACCAGAGGACGAGTCGTAAAAGTATCACGAATGCACTCTAATAGACATGGGCGGAAGAAGGTCAGAACCAGGCCACCAGGAAGCGCTAGATGCCACAAGGACTTGGTTGCCGCTTTCCATTTGGCGAGGATGTGATGAAGCGACTTCCAAGAGCGACGTCGCACAAGGATACAGGGGGGTTTAATTTAAATAGCGCATAGAATACATGTAACGCCAGGTAATGCCACGCATACAACGCGGATTACAATTACAGTATGCTTACACGTGGAAACAAGGGCCTTTGAGCTTCGGAGCGCCCGAGACTCATACATGAGCGGTCTCGGAGTCACTATTCCTTACGGCCGTGTTCGTTTCATCTGCGATAGCGCTTGGATCTGCGTCCGCGAAGTTGTCCTCCGCATCACGCGCAAACTCGAGCTCTCCGCCGACGCCACCAGCAGGGCCCCGTACGCCGGCCGAGAAGGTGCTCCAGCCAAGCTGGCTCCTAGAGCCGAACTCACGCAGACTGAGGATGATCCGCGCGGTCAGGATGGAATGGAGCATACGCTCTGGTCTGTATCGCGCTTCAATCTAAATGAAATATTTTTGGAGGAGATTAAACCACTCACAGAGAGAGCAAATTAATGAGGTCCGCCTAGGAGTAGACGAATGATCCGTAAGGCACAAAGATTATTGTAAGGTTGGTGCGAGCGACGTACGGATGCCGTCAAAATGACAATCACATTCGCGGTTGATAGAATAAAGAGATATAAATAGAATACAGTTCCTAATAGGCGGCTGCGCGTCAGACTGGGTCAGCGCAGCGTGGGCACATGCCCGTACCATCTCTAAATACAGTCTTGAATATTGCAGAGTCTTTGTCGGCTCGATCTGAACAGCGAACACCATTTGTGAGATTGGACTCTCAACATCAAGAGTGGGTATGTCGTACAATTTTTGACAGCCTTGTATGCCATTAGTCCAAGAATCGCTGAATGTAGCCCTCAGAGATGATGCAGAAGCGACATGAAAACACACTTACCGGCTTCAAAGACCATGAGAAGCACCCAGCAAATGAAGACGATAGGACTGCCAGACACCACATGACAGCCAGAGCCAGGGACATGCTGCACCGGGAGCGGCCCATCTTCGCAGGCCAACATCAGAGAGAAGCATCTAAGGAGAAGGCGCCACCCACAGCGAAGAGACTTCAAGAAGATACCAAGACTGGTCATGTTTGGCACCCAAGTCACGATGGTCCAGATGACCAGACCGATTGCAACCGCACGCCGTCTTTCGTACACGGCCCATGTACGGAGCATAAGAATAACTGCGTTTCAATTAGCAGCATAACATCGGTCAGGACGACATACGTGCCTTCCGCAATCAGAATACCCGTGAGAAGTAGCCCTAAAGACATCATGAGCGCGCGTTCTCACTTATTAACGCACGAGCACTCACAACCTGTGCTCTCGTAGACAAACTGGCAATCTTTGGGGCTCATGTCAGATTGGACAAGTTCTGCAAAACGGTTGGGGTCAGGTGCTCCCAGGTAGCGGTGGGCGCTTCACTTACGCCAGACGACAATCGTGATGTCGATGAACGGAGCGTAGCGTAGCGTGTGAGAAGGAAGAGGATCTTGATTGTGGACCAGGACGACGGCCATATCAGGGTAAGTTCGCCGTTGAAGGTGAGCATGAAGTCGTAGATCTGGGGATGGTGAGCTTTGGTGTTGCAAGGTAGGTGAACACTCCGGTGACGAACAATAAGAGTACAGCTGATGACTACGGCGACGTGTCAATCGTGGAACGACCAGTGTTCAGTATGAATGCATACCGTCGAAATACTGGAAGAGTTTCGATCAGCATTACAAGGCAGGTTGCATATAGCGAAAACCGCTTACGTTAGAGAGACGATTATGCCTCAGCGTGCCAAGCTGCGAAGCATCCAAAGGACCAGCCATATCCAGTGAAATTAGGCCAGAAAACAACAAGACAACAAGGAGAAGTGAAGTCTGCGTGGACAGGGACTTGGAGAGTTGTTCATCTCCCTGTGAAGGTTGATATAGGTTTCTCCACAAGTCCACTGAGGCAGCGAAAGTGCTTCATCAGTCGTGAGATCTCCGACGGTGCGGGGGCGTGAACCTAGATAAGGCACGTCTGGATAAGAAACTCCTCAACTCAATAGGAAACCACGAGCTCGATTGGGGCTGAGCAGAGTTTCGGCGCTCGGAAACAGTAGGCCAGGAACGCGCTTTGCCACGGCTTGCGTACACAAGAGGCTATTAGTCTCGAGGACTCTCGCCAATCTATATGCCTTGTATGCCATGATGGAGTATGAATAGAATCTGGATTATTTTCTGAAAAGCAAATATTGATCAGCCTCCTAGCAATTCATGTACATTGTTTGAATTCGACGCACTTGGAAAGCGCCGAGGTGTCCCCCACGACTCAACCCAGACTGCGGGGCAGCTCGTGAGCATAACTCCACGGGGATCGTCAATAGTATTACCCGGTGCCTGGCGTTATGTGCATCCAATGTGCATGAACGTGCGCAGATATCGCCGAATACAGCGTCCGTAATGCGAGTGACACGAGCGAATGCGTTTCATCCTGGCATCCATCTTGTTGATTGGCAGGAGCCGGGCTGTGCTGCTGGCATATTGCCCGCATGTTGATTGAGCTTACAAAAAGTGACATAGGCCTGAAAGATAGCTCGGGTGTTTTCCAGTCCATCAGTCTCGCCACGGGCCTTGCTATCGCCATCTTCCTGTTGTGAGGAAAACCACGGGATGAGCTTCGTGGATGGCAGAAAAAATATTGAGGCACGTACTTCGACTGGATGGGATAGCTGCTCGGCGACGATATCATTGCAAGATTAATTGGCGTTATGTTCGCGGACATGCGGTAGCGTGACCGTGGGGGTAATAGGCTCGGCAAGCTCCGAACGCCACAAAGTTTCGAGGCGAGAAATCTAGGGAAATTCAGGAAAGAACCAAACAATGCGACACGTAACAGTCATAGATGAAAGCACACTCAGAGCTTTGGAAAGAATTTCAAAGAGGGGTATACATCAGCATATCAGCAATCAAGCTAAGATTTCCTGCTAAGAACGTTTCGGCCAAGCGTTGTGACCTCCCGTTGCAGCAACGCAGTGATTTCGCTTCGCAACCGGGCAACCCTCATTTGCTTCGGTTCTTCGCCAGGTTGATGAATTCTGTGTTGTAGGATGTCGCCAAGCCAACGACGGCCAGCCTTGGCCAGACTGCACTCCTCTTCCACAGGGTCGCCAATCGTGAGCTCGTGCTTACTTGCGGTGGAGGACACTCCGCCAGGCGATCCTGCAGTTGTAGCCCACAAGGCACTCCGAATCTTGTCTGCCAGAATAGGCTCTCCAAAAGTGACGCTGAGTGCGACACCACGTTTAGGGAAAAGCTTCCACGGCCATGATCTGCCTTCTGGCATGAGATCTTCGTAGCCTGGCCCCAGACACGTTGATGAGAAGGTGGAGGAACAGAGAAGAAAAACGGGTTAACCAGTAAGCCACATCGGGATTATTGTGGGTGGCTGCTCGGCTTCCATGAGAATACGACCACTATGGGGAAATACTGAGTACAGACAAAGCGAGCGGAAAAAGAGACACATACACGCCCCACTTGAATCTAAGAAGAGGAGGAGGGTCATTGTCTTTGAACTGTGACTGAGCCACCTGGTTGGTATCAGGCACGTGTGCCGACATTGGCTGCTCTTCGAGCTTGGGGGCCGGCAAATAGCGCCCCGGTTGATGTACTTTCCCTTCTCCGAATAGATGAATCTGCTTTACATCAGGTTTTATGTCCTAGGCGAGAGCAAAAGGGACGCACCCATTCCCCATGGTTCAAGTTCTCTATCGCAACATCAACTGCGGGTTGGTATATCCCTTGCCCTCGGAACGTCTCAAGCACCTGACCACTGCGGAAGAATGCGGAGAACAGACTGTCTAGCAAAGGACGTCGTCAAATGTGATAAGCACCGGGCAAGGATGCCGGCAAGACCAAAGGCGAGGCGATGTTGTAAGGAAATCGACGCACGGGTTGGTGAATATGATATCTGCAGCGCCCAAGGACCAGCGAACCATCCTGGGCTGGAAGCACCATCTCCAAGGCAGTATCCCCCATGTCAGTGGATCGTCTAGTCTGCCTTGCTGCGTCATTATCCAACCAATCTCGCAGAAGGCATCAAGCTTACGTAGAGATGTGATTGCTGACTATACCAGCAAAACTCCGGTCAGAGCTATCTCACGCAATGACTGAGCATGGTACTCACTTGTTATGACGCCTTTGCCACCCCTCCGACGTTCATCTTTCAACGCCTGCCGCAGGTTCTCAAAACCAGTAACAGTGACCGATGAACAGTATCCGCTATTCAAGAATGTCTTGCACGTCAGCCCTGCAGTGCCCAGCGTCAGGCGAGTGACAATGCTGGACATATATCTTCAGAGGGTATCAGAGACGACTGGGATGTGTTAAACGGTGAGGTCAGGGCGAAACAGGAGCCGGACTTGGTGATTGCCGCTACGTACTGTACCAGACTGGGATAAATGGGCGCCTACATGCTTTGAGCTCGACTTTCGTAGAGGCCACTTTCACTCACTTCCTGAACAACCTGAACAATTGACCGGACTCCAGTTTGCATTACCTCTATCCCGGATAATCCTTTGGCTTGTGAGCTGTCTCGACAACAGACGGGTCTAAGCGCATGCGCTCGGCGAATATACCACGACATACTGACGCAGTATTCCAAAGTTCAAGGAAACACCGTATTGCCGTCTTGTGAGAGAAAATGCCACAGATATATTATAGTTCAGAAAGTCCGCATGTCTTTGTTTTTCGGGCCCTCTCGGCGATGATAAAGCGATCAACTTGCAGCCAGATAGCTTTTTACAGCTGGTGCTGACACGTCTAATGGAAATGGGAGTACAGAAGAAGGTACAGAGGCAAACAGGCCTACCCCGGCGTGACTCAACCTTTGCCTTCCCATGCATTACCCCACACCCCGCAAGTTGATCCGGGGTCACGCAGCTTCGTCCTCGGAGAAGTTCTGCTTAAACCTCGAGGTCCAGAGATTTCCTCGACTTCTTCATTGTGCTATCTCATTGCGTCGGAGACAGTGACTGCCGGTTCCGTACTGACGCTTTTTCACAGGCCTGCTCGCCTTGAAGGACCCGATGTCCCGAGAATCAGGCTAAACGCATGAACATATCACCGTGCTTCTGTAGCCATGATGATGGCTATCGCAGAGAGCGAACGGGGGCTAACTGTGGTTCCCCCTGAGCCACGAAATGATAGGTATTTTTGTCAGAATTGAACATTGGCTGCGCACGCGCTCACCAGTCTGTAGCTCTTCACGGCGTGCAGAACTTCCGGTGCCGAGTTCTAACGCCAGTATGTCCTCTAGAGGTGCTTGTCGAGTTGTCGAGGTCAGCATTTGAACAATTATATCATCCCAAGCCCGCTGGTCTTCAGCTGCAGCGGAGGCTCCTCACCGCCACCGACCATGTTCGTCCGTTACCGGCGCCGCCTCCCGTACTTCCTCGCATCTTCAAGTGCTTCGTCCGCCGACGCCGACGGCCATTGGCACCACAACGGCGGAATTGGCTACACGGGCCCGACGGTATGCTCGGTGCCGTACACTTGCGTCGTCTCAAACCTATACGTAAGTCTGAGGCTCATCCTGTCGCCGCATGTGATCCGCTGACGCTGCCCTACAGTACAACCGGTGGTCGGTGTCCATTTCATATTGCTTTGTTCTCTTCCACGTGTACACTCCCGATGATCCATGAGCTCGGAGAGTATTTTCGTCGGTTTTGCGCACGGGTATCAGCTCGGTGGTAATTGCTTGTGGTCTCCAACGTTCTACGTCCTGCGGCGCACGATCAAACTTACAGGGTTTCTCATCAGCACGACAAATGATCCTCGATGGTGCGCTCGCGGTCGAGGGGGCCCCTCAGCGGGTGCGCAGTCGAGGTTCCGCAGGAGGAAGCGGAAGGTCATGCGCATTTCCAGCTGCGCGAAGTCCCTACCGTCGCAGTCCGCGAAACCGAACGAGTACGAGATGAATATAATGCGCGCGCGTCGTGTGCAAAGCACTCGACCGTCTCGCAGCCGCAAGACTTGCGGCAGCGAGCCCCCGCTCGGGCCAGAAGGTGTTCGGCCGCGAGAAATAGCGTGGATCGCGTTCCAGCGACCGGAAGTGTGTACGCACGTGCGTACCGTTTGGAATATAGCTGGTTAAGCGAGATGAGACACTGTTACAGTTGTGAGTCAAGACGGGACTTACTATGACCCAGCTACTCTGTCGCCCCTGCCAGGTATGGACGTTGGCTGGCTGCCGCCCGACGCGATGGGGTACAGCCTCAGGGTCTCGTTGCTACACAGAAGTCAATAAGATGCGGAAGACTTGAGTACAATGACACGCGCATCGCAGCGTCCAATAGGGTCGTCTTACCATAATGTCTCGTATCAAATGCATCAGTGTTTGCAGGGCAGTCCTTGTCAACCTCGGCCTGAAGCCGCTAGTAGTAGTGCAGATGGCGCAAGAGGTTCCACAAGGCCTTAGATAGGACGGTCGCATTGAAGGGTGTCTGAGGAGGTGAATACTGTTAGGACGCCATCCGCGACAAGTTGGGCCCGAGACAAGGACACCTTGGTCGCCCTGTCAACGATCACAGTCAATAGGTGTCAAAAAGGTTCTTGGATGCGTACCTGGCCTCTGCAACGAGGCGCCAGAGCAATCCACCTAAGATTTTTTGTGGCAGACATACTCTACAGAGGCTCTTAGCATGGCCCAAACCCCGCCATCCGCCAGTAACTCGCTTCCTCCGCCATAACTACGCCTGAGTCAGCACACGGAAACGCACCGAATGCAAAATACCTATGCCACGTCTCCCATGAAGTCGGTTGAAAAGTATCTGAGCCATTTTGCGAGGCAGATGGTACCGCTTTAGTTCCCCAGCTGCTTAGTGAGCTATGTGATATGCTTAATGTCATGAGAATCGGTTCGTATCCTTTCAGGGCTTCGGCGCTGAATATTGAATGCGCGAGCCCGAGGGCGGCGGCAATGAGCACCCTCAACTATGTCGATAAGGGCCGAGACAGATGGATCCACGGACTCTCCCCAAAGGGCTATACAGACGAGTTGATCAGACTTCGGACAGATGGTCAACGAGATAGGACCAACCAAGGCCCTTAGGCAGGCCATTAGTGCTCATCAGAGGCACCACAGCATCGACATTGCGAATTGAAACCTCGCTAGGCCCAATGTGCACGATTTTGCCGTAGCGGTTATACAGCTCCTGGATGTGCAAATGCTGTTTACCGTGGTGCTCCTTCCGGACCATCCGCCACCTGAAGAGCTTGGTCGGGAGTGGCCCCGGATAGCCAGGAAGCGGATGCCATGGTGTGGTGCGGTAAAACGAGACTGATGCCAATAGAACAAAGTGGTATGCAGCCAGGGTGACGAGCGTGAGATATATTCCGCGACCATCAGGGGGAGTTGTGGTGAACGAGCAGCACACTCTGGTCGTCTGCTATCGGTCTACTAGTATCATGTCTGAGTCCGCTGGTTTAAATGTGGTGACGACTATGGAACTGGTGAGACAAAGCGGAGAGCGTCTTGTCATATTCGGACTAGTAGGTCGATTACCTTGGTCAACACTCTGCCATCGTTTATAGGATTTCCACACAGCCTGCGTGCGTGGCCGACGGATCCGAACGCGCACTCAAACGCGCGTCGCGCTTACTACGCTGAGTCCTGATGTGACGGTCACGCGCCTCCAGGCAGGGCGCATCACGTTTTCTGTTGTTTCCGGCCACGGTGACGCGTATCTGTGCGACCATAACCGGCATTTCCAGCTGAATACGCGTCTTATAGAGAGACAACGAGCTAAGGCTCGTCGTAACTCGAACTGCGGCGAGTTCATGCGCAACACTGTCATCACCGCGTCTACGTCACGGTTCCGCCTGTTCAAAGCGTCCGGCAGCCATAGTTCGCGGATTCAGGACCATGGGTGTATCTCATCTACCTTTCTTCTACAGCTTATGTTTAAGACGATCTAATCTCAAATTTGTCGGTCGAAGAGCGAGACTTTGTTGCTTGACGCTTGTTATCACCAAGCCGCGACGTCTCGATACCGGCGCGGATCGTCGGGATTGATTCTGGAAGTTTAGATATTATCCCTTCGTACCTTCGCGTCCCGATAGAATCAAGGTGAGCTGTGCCTTGGAAACTCTGAAATCTCATGCATCCGTTCCTTAGAGGTCTTCATTCATCCTACCCCACCTCCCCGCATTCCTTCGCATCCCCGCACAGAATCTTCGGGTCTGGCACGTCCTTCACTGAACAACACAAGCACGACAGCTATACAGTCCAATTATAACTAGATAGAGACTGGTGCCTGCGGATCAGTGCCAAGCGTGAAGAAGTAGTGAAGTCCCGAGAAGTAGGCGAAATTCACGGATAAATTGGGTTCCGTGCTCAAAGTGAGCAGGTCACTCGACTCATAATCCCTAGCTCAATGCTGATAACGGTTAAATCGACAGATATTGGTGATTTATATATATGTCTGAACCGATGTTGCGAAACTCCGCGACAGCCTCAGGTCCACTAGCCCCTCGAACGAGCTCCAGGTATCGACCCGACCATGCAGCGTATTCTTTCTGCCTCCGTGATCCTTGCGGCGATGGCCCTGTCGTCGTCTGCACACACCATCTTCCAGGAGGTGTATGTCAACGGTGTTGACCAGGGTCACATCAACGGCATTCGTGTGCCAAGCTATGACGGCGTATGTCCACTTCTTCTGTGGCGTCCATCTCGGATGTGCTCATCATTTTGCCGCGTCCTGCATACAGCCTGTCACGGATGTCACCTCCAACGGCCTCATCTGCAACGGTGTCGAGAACCCTTTCCAGCAGCCCGTGTCTGATGTCATCATCACCGTCCCAGCTGGTGCCACGGTCACAGCAGAGTGGCATCACACCTTGGCTGGTGCAGACCCGAGCGATTCTGCCGACCCAGTCGACCCCAGTCACAAGGGTGAGCACTAGCCTTTCGTTTCTGTACGACACCTTTTCTGAATGCATGTCTTGTCCCGTTTCAGGACCGGTCATGACCTACCTGTAAGTGCACAGACGGCCGCTGTACAATCTAGGCTGAGTATCCTCCCAGTGCGCAGGTACCAAATGCACTCCAGACGGACGTTACCGGCCTCAGCTGGTTCAAGATCTGGGAGGACGGCCTCGACGTGAACAACCAGACCTGGGGCGTCGACCGCATGATCGCGAACAAGGGCAAGGTCACCTTCACGATCCCCGAGTGCATCCCCGCAGGCCAGTACCTGATGCGCCACGAGATGATCGCGCTGCACGCAGCCTCGAGCTACCCCGGCGCCCAGTTCTATGTGTGTCTTCCCCCCTCCCCTCCGCGCCGCACACCGCACACTAGACGCTGACCTCTCTTCCCCGCGCGACAGATGGAGTGTGCCCAGCTCCAAATCACCGGCGGTGGCAGCGCACAGCCCGCGACGGTCAGCTTCCCCGGCGCGTACAGCGGCACGGACCCCGGCATCAAGATCAACATCTACGAGACCCTCAGCAGCTACACGATCCCGGGTCCGTCGGTGTTCAGCTGCGATGGCAGCACCGCGCTCCCGCCACCCCCGCCGCAGTCGACCGTGTCGGCTGCGCCGTCGTCGGTGTCGTCGGCCGCGCCCCCGCCGCCGTCGAGTACGTCCACTGCGACGGCTGGGCACTACGCGCAGTGCGGTGGTGTTGGGTAGGCTTTTGTCTTGTGTTCGTGGAGAAGGCTTCCGAGGGCTGATGGTATCTCGACAGGTACACTGGCCCGACGGCCTGTGCTGCTCCGTACGCGTGCGTTGAGTCTAGCGAATATGTGGGTGCATTTGGTAGCTTGACATGGTGTTGATGCTGACGAGGAACTGTTGTATACAGTACAGCCAATGTCTGTAAGGACAGAACATACCGGTACCGGGAACCGCGGTTCCTGCGCTCTGCTCTCACGTCATGCCTTTTGCCATTATGTATATGCTATTCATGCTTCTCACTTCCACCACCTCCGACAGTTTTCCCTTGTTGATGACTCGCAAATGCCATTGCTTGAATCAATTCTCTACGCAACAAGGGCAGCTCACTGATACTGTTCAATGGTCGACCCGATGGAGAGCTCCTTTGCCTTCTGAACGACAGCGTGGGCGATCGCGACGTCCTGCACGCCCACGCCGACCGACTTGAAGATCGTGACGTCTCCTTTGCGCACCCTTGAAACAGCCGAGGCATTCCGTGTCCATTTCCCCCCAGAAAGAGTGATGAGCTCTCCCAGCTCGACAACATCGTCAGATCCCAGACCTGCGGAGATGAGCTCGCCCGCCTCAGACTATCATATATATTCTAATGGTCAGAAGACCGTCACACCACGCAAGAAAATTATGCTCACCCCTGCCCCGGCCCGATAGTCGACGACGACGCGACTCGCGCGCTTGACAAGGTCCGAATCGATTTCGTGCCTGTTCGTCGCGTGGTTAGTCATCCAACTATTGGTATGCGCAGTTGGCGATTGCTCACATCGCTGGTGTGTACGAGCCGATCAGACACAAGCATGTTCCAGGCGATACATAGCTCGAAGGGAATAAGGGCACCGTAGAAGACGTGGCTGTGATAACGATGTCAGCCTCGCGCAGGATCAGGCGGATGTCTGGATTCTCCTGGCCGTTCTCGAGAACAAGCTGGTTCCCGGAGATTCTGACACGGTCTGCGAATTTGCGACCTAGCTCCAGCAACAAATCCTCCATCCGTTTATTTATGGTTCGATTAAAGATGTTGCAAGTCTTGATAGAAGGAAACCGGGATAGGAAAAGGGAGAGATGGGCGGCAATTTGCGCTCCTGCGCCAAAAGCGACCAAGCTCTGTGGAGCTCCCTGGCTCAGCATGCTGGCCGCAAGAAGAGAGCCTGTCGGAGCAACCGTGTGAGATGCCAAGACTATATTTTTTAACGATCAGCTGCTGACTTGCTGCGTTGCGAAGAGCAGTGAGCTTGCGAGCGTTCACGACGGCGGAGACCTCGCCCGTGTGTTCGTCGAGCACCATCGTGCTGGCGGGCAAGCCCCGCTCTTTGACATTGCTCGGCGCCTGGGCGGTCGGAACGGACACGATCTTGATGGCAGTCCCCGCCAAGGGTGCGAGGCGGGAGGGCATGAAGAGGGTGTGATGATTCTGGCTGGAGATCGTGCTGCGATGAGGTATTACAACGTCCGTGCAGTCTGCACTGGCTGCAGATGAGGCTGAAAGGCTGACGAAGACCCTCGCCATGAGGTTGATGAGTTCGTTGACCTCGAACTTTGACACGACTTGGTCGACATCTGAGCCCGACAAGACGAGGAGGCTCATCACGTCTAGTACGTCTATCTGATATACATATTGCAGATGTTAGCTGGGAATATATACGTATTGATATGGTTACATGTGCGTACTTAAGGTTAGCGGGGAAGTGCTCGACTTTGCCAGACACACGGAACGCTGCCAAATCGCGAGTTATGACGGGAGCCGGAGCGCCAAACGGCATTCGGTGCGGTAACGTGATCGGCTGGGTGACGCCCCCGTGAAAGACACGCTGCCGTCTACGACGGTGCTATCCAAGAGGCCCTCTTCTGCTCCGTTCACAGCGACGAGGGGCGGTTGTTGGATACGGTTGCTGAAAGGCACCGTTGATGATGTGTTTTGCGCGCCATTTGATGCGGGGTAAAGCGTGGGAAAGCTTGCGACGCTTGCCGAATATGATCCGATATGCACGAGACACAGCCGCGCGAACGTTGTCGCTCACGACGACGATTCTCCTTGACAGGCTTCGTCCACAACGATGCATGTTACATGCTGCCACGGGCAAGTTCGAACTTGAGGTCTCCTAACTCGCCTCATTAGAGTCTTGTGAACAGCACGTGTCGGCCGCTCTGCTCCAGCAGCTTTCCTCCAACTTGGAAATCGCTGTGATCCTGATCCTGCCTACCTTGCAGCCGACTCACCCCCGCTGCAACAGACCGGCGCTGCGCTGGGCCGCGCATAACCATGTCTAGAACGCCCGTCGGCACCACCAGTTGCTGTTAGCACAGGCACCTCCATCGTTCAAGCCGTCACCCTTAATTTCTTGGCATCTTGGGACAGCGCTGGCAGGGAAGCACATAAAACAGATCTTTGAGGCAGGACACTCTTGGCAAGTCTCTCTTCTTGTCTTCTACCGCCTTTCCCCCTTCCTCTCTCTCTCTTCAATGTCGAGCTCGAGCAAGGAGACTAGCGATATTCATATGGCGGAACTTGGCAGTGCCGTGCCGCCGATGTCTGACGCCGAACGAGGGTACGCCAGAGTGGCCACCGCTGAGCCAAGCGCGGACACAATTGAACTCGGACACTTACAACGCTGTTTGTCCCTCAGTGAACATCCTTCGCAGCTGACAAGTGGAAATGGTCGGTCCGCTTCGCACGACCCAACGCTGTACGAGCAATACCTGTCAAGAAGGCGCGCGATTTGGAACCGTCTGCGGGGAAAGGGAAGGCGTGTACCAGGCTTCAGGGAGAGCGTGAAGAACGTGGTACTGAGCTCATGTACGTCCGCCGCATGGTTCATTATATGGTTCCTCATGTATGCTCTGCAGGGATCAATATACTCTTTCTCGTTATGCCTATTGCATGGGTGTCTCACTTCGAGAAAAGTTGGTCACATGAAGTTACCTTTGCGTGTACGTGCACTCCCACAAACGAGTCGGCATGCCATAACTGCCTTCAGTGTGCTTTGTTGCTATCATTCCTCTCGAGAAGACGTTCGACTTGGGCGGCGAGCAAATGGCGCTGTACCTCGGTAAAGACCTTGGAGATTTGGTCATCATCACCCTCAACAAGTAAGTAATCTCGGTGGTACGCCAAATGATTTCAAATCTAACTCATGGTGACAGTGCTGTAGAAGCGACTTTGGCAATTGTCTTACTGCGCAATTGCGAGTAAGCAAACTTTACTGCTGGCTTGGCGTGTGCTAATATCAGCAGACTTCGATTGCTGCAGGCGACTATCGTAGGTATGTGATGCATTATGGTGTGGAGTCCTGTAATTCACGTTCCCCAGGCGTGGTCGTTCTGCATCTTCTCCTCATCCCGGGCACAGCCTTTCTCGCGGGCGGAGCGACCATCTGGGAGCAGAACCTGCACCCGCATCCCAACGAGCTGAACCACTCGCTCCTGGCCGTCGGCGTGCTCACGATCCTCCTGCCCACCGCGTTCTTCGCGGCGCTGGACCGCGGCGCACAGTCGATCGCCTCGAACGGGCAGCTCACGTACTCGGGGAACGTGCTCACGGACCACATGCGCGACGAGATCCTGCGCATGAGCCGTGGGCTCGCCGTCGTGCTCCTCGTCGTCTACGTCGGATCGCGCATCTTTCTGCACAACCCGCCGGGCGACGGCAACGCGGGCACGCTCGCGCCGAACGCGCCGCTCGAGCAGAAGATCCAGGAGGAGCACCTCAAGACCGTCAACCCCGAGATCCACCCGCTCGTGTGTGTGACGCTGCTCATGATCACCATCGCGCTCATGGCCACGACCGCCGAGTTCGTGAGTTGGCTTCGCATCTGTTGATACGGCTTCCAACGACGCTGACAGGCGCTCGCAGCTCGTAGAGAGTATCGAAAACGTCCGGGAAGCTGGCCACATCCAAGAAGAGTGCGTCTCGTCTTTTTCTATTCTGACTGGTGTCTCATTACCCGTTAGGTGGTTCGGCCTCATCCTGTTGCCGATTGTATCTTTCTCGGCCGACGGGTGTATCGCGATTGCCTACTTTGCACGCTCGGTATGGAACCATATCATCGGGAAGGAGACGCTGGTACCTTCGGAACTCGCTAAGGGCCGTGCCATCGACCTCAGCATCCAGTTTACACTCTTCTGGATGCCGTTCCTCGTTCTCCTTGGGTGGTGGATCGATAAGCCTATGCACCTGCTCTTCGGTGAGCCTTCTGTAGCTTCACATCTCAATAGACTGCTAAAATACCGGGGGCCGCTAGACTATTACGAGCTCGCGATCGTCCTCGGTTCCTGCTTCCTGGTCAACTACGTCACGGCGGACTCTAAGACGAACTGGGGCGAGGGCCTGATCATGGTCGCTTTCTACGTTATGATCGTCAGTCGCTCTCTGCGCTCTGTATCCGCACATCACTGACGCACGCGCTCTGCGACAGGCCATTTCGGCGTGGTTCTATATCGGTCAGCCCGAGCTCGCCGTGATGCTGAATTGTCCTGGGACCGTCGCCGACGCTCTCACTAGTGGTGTCGAGAACGGAGGAGAGGGAGTTAGGGTTATAGCGCGGACTCTTAGAGCTGCGCTGTGATTATCTTTTTCCGAATTTCTTCCGACTTTCGAGGCGCGGATTATTATTTTCTTGTTTGCAGCATATCATGGACCTGACGCATATTCATGAACACTCACGCATAGCATAGTATATCCTAGCACGTACATCAGCAGACGTGTTATCTATTGGCAGAACGCCTGTTCTTCTGTTAATCCAAGCACAGTTTACAGTTACGCCGCCTTGACGAGCTTCCCACCCCTGTGCCACCATAGACTCTCCTCGTCCTCGTCCTCCTTGCACCACAGGTCCTTACTCTGCCACATGTTCAGCTCCTCAAGCCAGATATCAGACGGGCGGTCGAGACAGCACCCGTCGAATGCCTTCTTCCACAGCGGCGTCCAGAACCGCTGCCACCACGCGACGTCCGCGCGGCGGCTCAGGACATGCTCGTAGAAGAGGATCTGGCCGCCCGGCCGGATGACCTGCTCGGTCAGGGCGCGCATCGTCGCGCGCGGCTCGGGGATGCCGCACAGCGAGAGGATGCATATGACGGTGTCGACCGTGTGCGGCCCGCCGAGCGCGGAGACGAGCAGGCCGATGTCCTCAGCGCCGTAAGGCGCGACGAGCAGCGTGCCCGCGGCCTCTGTGAAGCCCGCTTCGCCCGCGACCCGCCGGATCTCGGCGTGCATGTTCGCGTTCGGCTCAAGCGCGACGTATTTCGTGACCTTGGTGCGGTCGAGGTACCGCGCGGTGTGCCCGAAGCCTGCAAGATTGGCGCGTAGTAGTAGTAGCGCGCGGGGGGCGAGTCAGTGGGGAAAAAAATTGTGTGAAGCCGAGAGCAGAAGAGCGTACCTGCGCCGATGTCAAGGACTACGCCGTATGCGTTCGGCGTCAGGAAGGAGTTCTTGAGCTCGCGAGTGTTTTCGTCGATGTCCTTTCCGAAGGCGATCCAGACGTGGGACATGAACTCGCGCGAGAGGAGCGTCGGGCGAAGGAGCAGGCCCGGCTTGCGCAAAATCGCCTTGAGGGTCGGCAGAAACGCTATCTGCACCGCCAGACGTAGTTCTTCGAACAAGGCAAATGCGTTGCTCAGTTTCATCGCGGCGGCCTTTAGGAGGGGAGGTGACAGCTGGAAGCAAAGAGCATTTCGAATTGGCGTCTCTACGAAACAAGGTGTTCCGGGTCTCCTGTTAAATCATTTCTAAACCCAGACCTCGGATACCATTACAGCAAGCTCCGGGGAACCGCGCCGTCCGCGCACTCTGGACCCTCCCATCCGCTCGTCGTCGCAAGAGCCGGCAACGTTTTTTGTCCACGAGCAGAATACTTAGAGGCACTGCTGAGAACTGTGGGAGCTTTGGAGATTAGGTGCGCCAGGATACTCTCTGGCTTACGTGTATAGCTGGCTGAGTCTGTCCCGCGACTACAGACTTTCATTTTGATTATCGCTGCAAGAATTCGTGGACCTCGCGACGCTTTGTGGTAGTACTGGGTACTAGGTACGTTTCTATACTGATCATGTCGGTGTGCCACTGAACTGAGGAGCCGCAGACATGGCCAGTCTAGGTCGGACGCTCCGGACAGTGTGGACAGCTTTCGTCGCTGCAGTTGGGCGAATGGACAAGTCGCTTTCGCCGTATGATACCATCCAAAAGTTTCGAAAACACAACTTTGTCCTTTCCGACTCGATATACCTCTTCGAGATCTTCCTCGCGACGTTCTGGGTAGCCATCATGCAAGCCCCAAGCTTCCCGCTCAAACTGCTGCTGCCCATCCTCTACTCCGTCCTCATTCTCATCCCGTTCACATCCCAGTTCTTCTTCCCTGCGACACCGATTCTGCTGTGGGTTTTGTCGTGGTATAGCAATCGCTTCATTCCCTCCGACTACCGGCCTGACATCTCGGTCGTACTCCTGCCGACGCTCGAGTCCGTGCTGTACGGCGCGAACATCTCAGACATTCTCACGCGTTTCACACATCCTATACTGGACATCCTCGCGTGGATACCGTACGGCGTCGGTCACTACTCTATTCCGTTCGTCGTCGCAGCGTTCCTCTGGCTCTTCCGACCCAAGGAAGCTCTACACGAATGGGGGCGCATCTTCGGATACATGAATCTCCTTGGTGTGCTCATCCAGATTTTTTTCCCTTGCGCAGCGCCATGGTACGAAGTCATCCACGGCTTGACACCCGCGAACTACAACATGCCCGGCTCGCCCGGTGGACTGCTGCGGATCGACAAGCTGTTCGGTGCGAACGGGTACAACACCGCGTTCACCAACTCTCCCCTTGTCTTCGGCGCATTCCCGTCGCTGCACTCCGCATGTGCCTGCCTCGAGGCGCTCTTCATCTCGCACTTCTTCCCGTGGACGACGCGCTACGTGTGGGCGTACGCGGGCTTGCTCTTCTGGTCGACGATGTACATGACGCACCACTACCTGATCGACGTCGTCGGCGGCTCGTGCCTCGCTGTCGCTGCCTTCTACCTGCTGCTCCCCGACGAGCTCAAGGGCGCCGCCGCAACCGCGCCGCCTGGCGGGCTCGCCGCGCGCCGGAGCAAGTACGAGATCTACGACATCCCCGAGGGCGAGCGCCCGCGCGCCGGCGACGCGTACGACCTCGACGAGCTCGACGAGCGCGAGAGCGACGAGGAGGTCGACATCACGTACCGCTCGCCCGTGCCGCCCGCGCCCGGATCCGCGACGCCGCTCATGCGCCAGGGCAGCGCGCAGCCGAAGAAGAACCATCGCCACACGGCGAGCATCGCGAGCCTCATACGCTCGGAGGAGCGCGGCGAGGAGGGCTGGAGCCCCATCGGAGGGTCGTTCACCCTCCCGCCGACGCCGACGCAGCGGTAATAGGTGTGTGTGACGGGGTATTTAAGCGGGTGTATCTGGTGGAAGCGTTCTCCATGGCGTTATACCCCCACATCTTTCTTTTTTTCATAGCATGTATATAGGCCCGAGGCTGGGTACGATAGACCAACCGATGTAATGTACCCTTACATAATTTAAACGTTATGCGCACACGAAATAGCTTCTTCACGGTCGTCGCGAGCTAGGAACCCCTGCGACGTCGTCACTGCGGCGGCACATCGTCAGGCCTCAAGCCTTCAGGCAGGCGCGACCAAGCAAGACCTTCATCTCGGTTACTTATCGCCACACAAACAGCACAATAAGCACAGCGCCAGGCAGGACAATTCCACAATGCCGCAAGCGGCAACATATGATAACGACAGCAAAGAACGAGTAAGTATGGTACACCAGACAGCCCTAATGACTAAGCGATACAGCAATATGCAAGCACAGCGTGATGGCGGGGTCGTTAGAGCCGTAAAGTACGTGTGTGGCACAGCCCACTTATGGGGGCCTCGCTCGCACGCAGTGCGAGTGTGCCGCGCGACATGCGCAATAGATAGCGATATGAAAGTGAGAGGTCGTTACACAGGGCGGGAGGGGGAGATGGAGGAAAATGCGGGGAGGCACGCTTAGTGCGAGGCGTGGCGGATGTGGCGCTTCGCCATGCGCTTCTTCGAGCCACAGGTCTTGGTCGACGCGGGAGACGACGCAGACGCAGGGGCGGACGCGAGAGAGGCGGTCGCGGAGGGCTTGGCCGCGGATGAGGAAGCAGCAGAGGGTGCAGCGGAGGATGCGGAACCAGCACCACCGCCAGCAGACGAGGTGTTGTTGCTGCCACCGGTCATGCCGCTTGCGGCCGAGGACGCCAGGTTGGAGATGGGACCGCCAGGGAAGACGTACGGGCCCGCAAGAGGATAGATCTGCAGTGAGGCCATGGTTAGGATGTTAAGAGCAAATACAGTGAAGAGCTACAACATACGTTAACGAGGAGGCCAGGGTCGTTGTCGCTGTAAGCACCAGGGAACTGGACCGTCTCGTCGGGGACACCGTTACCGTTGCCGCCGATCAGGAGCTGACTGCAGGACGGGTAGGACTCGTAGCCTCCGGATGACATGGCGAGCTGAAGGGAGATGATCTCGTTGCGGAGGAGGTAGCCTCCTGGCTTCAGGTTCTCGGGCAGGGTGAGGCTGAAGGGTTGACCTTGCATGAGCGCAGCCTGTTCCCATGTGCCGTCGGATTGGACACCGGACTGCTCAATCTTGAACCACTCAGCCTTGGAGGCATCGAACTGGCTGCAGTCGTTGCCGCCGCAAGACGCCATGTAGTTGATGATAGGGCCTGCATTGTGGGGCCACTAGAAAAGGCAGTTAGAAAGGAAGTACCGCAAGAGTAAAGCAAAGCACGCACCGGTCCTCCCTGGCCGTTGATCCAAAAGAGCTGGAGCTGACTGCCCGGGTTCGCGGATGCAGTCGTGTCGGCCAGAGATGCGTTCTGTCCGCAAGAAAGGCTGGGGTTGGTCGCGCCCTTGACGGGATCGACTTCGCTGATGGCGCGGATGGGACTGCCGCCTGGACGCGCTCGGTCAGAACCAGCCTCCGGATCCCGAAAGCGGCAAAAAAAACTCACTCAGAGGGCCTTTGCCAACAGCGGGGCCGTCGTACTCTTTGCCGTCAATGACAATCTTGTGCACAGAGCCGTGTGCGGCAACGTAGGGAGCGAGCGCGAGCGTGGCTGCGAAGGCGGCGAGGAAGAACGACTTCATGATGGTAGAATTTGGCTGCACGAGAGAGCGTAAAGGAATGCGGGACCCTTCAAGAGTCGATAAAGAACCTGAAAAGAAGGTGTTGTTGAGGGATGGAAGGCTCTCTCGAGGTGAGTGTTATAAAAGTGCAAGCAAGAAAGGCCGCAAGGCACAAGGGGGTAGTGGAAAAGTCCAAGGGAGGGTTTATATACGTCCCAGTGGCAAGGGGACAAACAAACAAAATTGGCGAGAACAGTGCCATCTTTGCCGCTGTTTGCTTCAAATTTGAGGCTGACAGCATTCTTTATGCCTATTGTCGTGAGAAGCGAACAATACACCGCACACGGAGGCGAAGACGCCGGCGTTCGCCACCGTTCCCATCTGGTTCCGCTGATATTGCAACAAGAATAAAATCGAGGATGCTGTGGCAGCATCAACGTCGATGATGCATATGGTGGTTCGGATCCGAGTGCACGCGGATCCTTAGACGGCGGTGGCGCTTAGGGAGAAGGCGCATCAGGCGCATCAAAACTGGCGCCCGGGTGGCGTACAATGCGAAAGGCAGGGCATGAGATACCGCAAGATAGTACAATAAGAAAAACAATTGCTTGTCCGATCATGCGAGGGCAAGTCGTCTGTGTGGACACAGCTCTTGAGAAAGGTCAGCTAATATGAAACCGAGGGTTCAAGATTGAATATTGAATATTGAATTGAATATTGAGTGCTTATTGGTCCGCTTATCATGACCTGCCACCATGCATGGCAAGCGAAGATACCTCAGACGTAAGGTGGATCTACGGAACATGCGCCAGACCAAGCAAGTAAAAATAGCTGTTCCGCGGTCTGCAACATCAAATGACTATCGCATCGAGCAGTACACCGCCAACTTGCGCACGGGTGATAACCAGGTGAAAAGCGCTCGCGGAGAGCAGAAGCCGCGCGTCTGATCTCAAGAGTCAGTGCGTCTGAAAATCAGGAGTATTCCGACATCGTTCGGACCGTATGAGTTCACGTCTGCAACACGCCCGAGCGTACGTCCGCAACACATATGTGCGGATTCCGTGTAACATTAGCAGTTCGCACATAAGTCGGTCAATTTTTCTGGACCGGATTTCCTCTTGCCGCCGTACAATTTCGTGCACAACAGGCAGTAAATGTGTGGATAATTAGTTGTTTATTTGGTATATATATGCGGAGGTCACGCTGCTACTACATTAATCAGCATTATTGACAATCTCGTCAATTTCCTGTTGCCACACATTGGTGGTCCGAGGGAACGAAGCCGATTCTGCCATGTTTTCTACACCATGAATGTGGCGATCCTCCAATGTGTCACGAAAATAGCTGCGATGAAGATCAGCAGTGCACGGAGTAAAGTTATATGAGAGTGTGACGCACTCGCTGATCTTTGTCTCATCACCTCCCAGTTTCTCACGCAAGCTGCGGAGATTCGCATCCATGCTGTCCCAAAAGTCACGCTGGCTGTTTTTCATGAAGCACTTGCACTTCACAGATGAGGTGTCAAGGACAGTTGAGCGCAAAAATCAGGAAAGATAAGTTGGAG